TCATACGAACGGGGACAAACAGACAAACGGGCAAAAATCCAGCAGACAGATGGTTCTGTCACACGGCTCCCTCCTTGTGGGACACTCCGGCAGACCCGGCTTGACCCTGTGGCGGGTCAACTTGGGGATGACCGGACTACGAGGTGATGGAAACGTCTGTTTGTCGTGACAACCCATCTGCATTTCCGTTTAGCTTACCGGGTCTGTAGCTGATAGTAAAATTGTAGGGCTGTAGTGCCAAGCTCCATCTCAGCAGTCTCCCATTGTCTCCTGAGACCCGGTTAAGCCAAACGAGTGGGTTGTGATCAGTCACAAGGGAAAACTCTTGCCCATACAAGTAGGGACTTAACTTTTTCAATGCCCAGACCAAAGCCAAACACTCCTTCTCCACTGCCGCATAACTCACTTCTCTGGGTAACAACTTTCTGCTGAGATATGCGACAGGGTGCTCTCCTCCATCTTCCCCGACTTGGCTCAGCACAGCCCCCAGTCCATACATGGAAGCATCTGTGTGTACGAGAAAGCGTTTGTTAGGGACTGGGGCAGCCAAGACAGGGGCATTCATAAGAGCCTGCTTCAGTGCCTGGAACGCAGCTTCACAAGCCGGAGACCACAGGACCTGCTTAGGCAAGTTCTTCTTGGTCAGGTCTGTCAGGGGCTTAGCGATAGCGCTGTAGTCAGGGACAAAGCGTCTGTAGTACCCTGCCGTCCCCAAGAAGGCCAATACCTGGGTCTTAGTAGTAGGTGTGGGCCAGTTAGCCACTGCCTCTACCTTGGCTGGCTCCGGTCTCTGGCTCCCACACCCCACTCTGTGACCCAGGTACTGTACTTCAGCCATACCTAGATGACACTTTTCTGGCTTCAATGTCAGGCCAGCGGCCCTAATCTTATCCAGCACTACCCCTACATGTACCAGGTGTTCCTCCCAGGACCCACTGTAGATCGCAATGTCGTCCAAGTATGCACAGGCAAATTCTTGGAAGCCATCCAGGAGTCTATCCACCATCCGTTGGAAGGTAGCCGGTGCATTTTTCATCCCAAAAGGCATGACCTTAAATTGGTACAGGCCAAATGGGGTGACAAATGCCGACTTGGGGATAGCATCCTCGGCCAGGGGGATCTGCCAGTAGCCCTTACACAGGTCTATGGTGGTCAGATATCGCCCCCTGGCAATACGATCTAGTAATTCGTCTACCCGGGGCATTGGGTAGGCGTCAGTGGTGGTCCGCTCGTTGAGTCGCCTGTAGTCCACACAGAACCGGGTGGTCCCATCCTTCTTTGGCACCAGGACTACAGGCGAGGCCCAAGGGCTGTCGGAGTGCTCGATAACCCCAAGTTGGGTCATCTCCTGTATCTCCTTCCGCATTCCTTCACGGACTGCTTCAGGGATACGGTAGGGGGGCTGTCGTAACGGGGTCTGTCCAGGGGTCTCTACCTTATGCACAGCTAGGGTGGTATAACCTGGTTCCTGGGAGAACGTCGCCTGCTTCTCCCATAACAACTGCTGCGCCTGTACCCTTTCTGTGGGGTTCAACCGGTCCCCTAGCTGTACCAAGGTAGTAAGGTCAGTCTGGGAATCCCTTTCTAATAGATCTGGAAGGGGTAAGTTCTCAGAATCATCTGCAGCTGGGGCACATACTGCTGCAATATTCTCAGGTCTCTCCTGGTACTCTTTCAGCATGTTCACATGAAAGGACCGCTGGATCCTCTCATCTGCACAGCTGGCTATCAAGTAAGTAGTGTCGCAGATCTGCGCCACTACCTTGTACGGGCCCTGCCAAGATGCCTGCATCTTGTTGGCCTTCACAGGTTTAAGCACCAATACCTTTTGCCCAACCTGGAAGACCCGCTGTCGGGCACCCTGATCGTACCATCTCTTCTGTCTCCCCTGGGCCGCCTGGAGATTCTCCCTTACCATCAGGGACAGTTTCTCCATGCGGTCCCGGAGTTCCAAAACATATGGTACTATGGGGATCCCTTCCTGCTCCGTCTCCCCCTCCCAGTGGCCTCTAATGAGATCTAGGGGTCCGCGGACCCTTCTCCCATACAGCAGCTCAAAGGGGGAGAACCCAGTAGATTCCTGGGGCACCTCTCTATAAGAAAATAATAGATGAGGCAGGAATCTCTCCCAGTCTCTGCAAGTGTCTGTAAAGGTCCTCAGCATCTGTTTGAGGGTACCGTTAAAGCGCTCGCAGAGACCGTTAGTCTGTGGGTGGTAGGGTGAGCTAAGTAACGGCTTAATGCCGCACACCTTCCACAGTTGCTGGGTGAGCACAGCGGTGAATTGGGTTCCCTGGTCGGAGAGGATCTCCTTAGGGAACCCGACCCTAGTAAAAATTCTAACCAGGGCATCAGCAACCGTCTCTGCCTCTATGTTAGACAGCGCTACTGCCTCTGGATAGCGGGTGGCATAGTCCACCACGGTAAGAACATACTTCTTACCGGATGGACTAGCCCTGGCCAGTGGACCCACAATGTCAACGGCTATGCGGGCAAAGGGCTCCCCTATAATAGGCATCGATAATAGCCTAGCCTTAGGGTGGTCCCCCCGCTTTCCTACCCGTTGACATGTGTCACACGTGCTGCAGTACATCCGCACAGCCTGGTTAAAGTTTGGCCAAAAGAAGTTCTGTGAAATCCTATAGGCTGTGCGGCGGGACCCTAGATGTCCAGCTAAAGGAACATCATGCCCTATCCGCAGAATCTCCTGCCGGTACTTTGCAGGTACCACTAACTGGCGATTCGGCGGAGTGGCAACACTCTTCTGGGAAGGTTTAGGGATCCTATACAACCTGTCCCCCACCCACTCATACCGTTCCCCATCTATTCCTTCCTCCCCAGCATCGGCCCTGTCCTTGTATCTTTGGAGGGTCGGATCTGCCCGGGTTTCCCTCCCAAACTCCTCTGGGGAATCCCAGCTTAAGGGAACCTGATCTGGGGTACCAGTCGGGGAAGGAGATCTTACCTGGGTCTCGTCAGCAAGTGGGCTGGTTCCGGCAGCACGGGTCTGGGCACGGGTGGTCACTGGGTTCACGTCTGCAGGGCCCATCGGAGCATAGGCTGAAACCAAAGGGGCCAAATCGTTTCCCAAAAGAACATCTGCGGGCAAGTCCTTCATCACCCCCAAATCCACATGCCTAGCGCCCACTCCCCAATCCAAATGTACTCGGGCAACAGGTAAGCGAAACACGGCACCCCCTGCTACCCTTACTGCCACAGTGTCCCCAGTGTGCTGATGCTCTGAGACCAAGTTCTTTTGGAGCAGTGTCATCGTGGCTCCTGTGTCTCTCAGCCCATTCACCACTTTGCCATTCAGCTTCACAGTTTGCCGATGTTGCTGGCGATTATCCTGGTGAGCTGCTTGCACTGGGTCTGCCTCGTGTAGAATGCCCCAAAATTCCTCCTGCTCTAGGCAGTGAGCAGCAGGCTGAGGTGGGCGCTGGTTTCCATTAACTGGTCTCCTCCAGGACTGAGCCTGGTTGGCACTGTTCAGTGGGCACTCAGGACGCTTGTGTCCCAACTGCTTGCACCCATAGCACCGGATGGGTTGGGAGTACTCCCGGGCATTAAATCGGGCTGGTTGCATATAATTGTTAGCTGGTGGTGCGGCTGGGGTACGGTGTACTGGGGGTTGGTAGACTGCAGGAGCGGGTGTTACTGCTGGTCGATACTCCAGTCTGGCAGGGCTTTAGCAGCTGTACCATCCAACTTGCGGGCATCCGTGTATTCGTCTGCCAGACGGGCAGCCTCGGGTAGGGTAGAGGGTTTTCTGTCTCTGACCCATTCCCGGACCCCAGCAGGTAGTCTATCAAAGCAGTGCTCCAGCAGGAACACTTGTAACACCTCCTCCCCAGTTACCGCTTGGCATCCAGCCATCCAGTGGGCTGCGGTACGATGGACTCTGCAGGCCCATTCCACATAAGAGTCCCCAACCAGCTTGTTGGTTTCTCTAAACCTCCGCCTGTACGCCTCTGGGGTCACTGCATACCTGGCTAGGAGCGCCTCTTTCACAGCCCGGTAGCTGGTGATCTCCTCCTCTGGGATGGCCCGAAAAGCTTCACTAGCCCGGCCAGATAATTTCCCAGAGAGGATGGTGACCCATTCATCTGCAGCTGAGGGGTTGGGGCCAAAATGTGCCAGCCTTATTTGTACTGCCCGGTTGAATTGTATTTCCTCGGGTGTTAAATCCAAGGTACTGGGCACGTTGACTCTTTCCATTCCCGTTGCTGCATCCATCTCCATTAGCAAAGCAATAATCTCCCGTTTCTTTAAATTGCTTGCTGACCTTCCTCGGCGTTCCAATATGTCCTTAAGTGTAGCACGCCTTAATTCCTCGTACTGCATGTCTCGTAGCTGACCTCCAATGCTGTAGGATTCATCCCGTCGCTTGCCACCAATTGTTAAGACACCTCCCGTGTCTTTAAGCCAAACCGCCGTTTAGTAAACCTTCCCCGGCTGCAGTACAGTCTCTGTTCGCTTACTCTGTAACCCACGAACCAAATGCAGGGGAAGCGGCAATCTCCCGATCGAAATCCACGAACGGCTCCAAACTCCCGAACGGCAATATACGAACTGCTAGGAACCGTCGAACAATAATATCCCCAAAGCGGCTTTCGTTCCATCCAGCAGTCTCTAACCGTGAAGAAGAAATCCCCCCAATAACGAGACAGAAGCTCCGCATTGAGGGTCAAATAAGATCTGGTTTTACTGTGGGCTACCTGCCCGTATTTATGCAGGTCTCCCACCTGGTGGACACTCCCCTAGGGGACCAAATGGAAGACTTAAATTACAGACAGATAGAAGGACATTTCTGACACACAGTCACATCTCTTACCCACAGTGCATTCTGATTCCCTCCCCTCTGTCCTGGAGTTAATTACCAAGTAACTCAATTAACTCCAGGACAAGGACAGTCGCCATTTTAAACATAAAATAATAAAAGACATAAAAATGCATAACTACATGAAAACTGAACATTTCCCATTCGTATTACATGTCCCCAGATAGCCTGGATCTGAGTGCATATTATTAGCGAATAGCGCTCAGATCCCACACACATAGTTCAATCGCCATGGAGTCAAAGTTCTTACAGTCTTTCGGTATACGAATGACTCCATGGGAGGGCTATCTGGGTTAAGTCTTTTGTATGCTCTCAATCTCCCGAACAGCCGGTGTTCGCATGCTTTCGTGGAGGCAGCCAGACGTTCCCTTGTTTCAGCGGTGTTCGACAGAAAAGTGTCCGTTTTCCGTTCCATAGAAATAGAGCCAAACACCGCTGAGCGTTCGCATGATTTAAAATGGCCGCTGCCTCGTGGTCGACATACGAACGACGACCACCCTGAGTTCGGTTTAATTGAGAAGTGTCTGCGGTTAACCACAACGTTATAATGGTGATCACTTCGTTAACCTGCAGCACACTCCTCACTTGGGTGGCCGTTCGTTCGGCAGATTTGTTCGGGAAAAAGAGTCATTCGAATGGCTGGGCTATAGAAACCAGCCATTCATACGAACGAGGACAAACAGACGAACGGGCAAAAATCCAGCAGACAGATGGTTCTGTCACAATTGGGTTCCCATTTTAGCAGGGCGGCTAACGGGAAGAGCAGCAGAAGCGTACCGCACGGTACCAGATGACGAACTAAGGGATTATCACCGGGTCATACTGGCCAGATATCCCATGACACCAGAAGCTTACCAAAGGTAGTTCAGGGACCTTAAAAAGACTGGTAAAGATTCACACGCAGAGTGGGCTTGTCGACTACAAAGAGCAGCACTGGGTTGGATACAGGCGAACAAAGCGCAATCCACGTAGGATTTGTTACAAATGATATTGTTGCAGCAATTTTTCGACGGACTGGCGCCAGATATACAGGAGTGGGTGAGGGATCGCAATCCTACAAACCTCACTGAAGCAGCCCGAAGGGCAGATGACTACCTAGATGTCCGGAGGCAACAGAAACCGGCACTGGTTAAAGTCATAACACACCCAAATATAGCTCTCACCTATCCGTCCAGTACGACAGCTCCACCACGACAGCTTCCACCACCGGCAGGCGCTCAACCACAGTTCAGACAACCTAACAACATTAAGTGTCATCAATGCCAGCGTTGGGAACACTATAAAAGAGAATGTCCACAACTGCGAGATCGCACCACATGGATCCGGCCCGGTCCACCACCACCACCCAGAGCAGCAACCCATTGTTACCAGGCAGAGGCTGCAATGACCTACGACGCTGGAGTTCCCATCACCACAGTAGAACAGTGGGAAGTGCTCCATGAGGCAGATCCCCTACAGGTCCACGCAGACAACCGACAACACCATCGGCAGACAGTCTACCTAGAGGGAAAGGCAGTACAAGGGCTTTGCGATTCTGGAGCCACCATTACTTTGGTAAAGAGCCACCTAATCCCCATGGAAGCAAGAACCAACAGAACTTTAGCCGTAAGGGTAGCCGGGGGAGCAGTATACCGACTACCCACCGCCCGAGTGCATTTGAATTGGGGGGCAGGTCATGGGAATGTGGAACTCCCGGCGGAAGTTTTGTTGGGGAATGACTTGGGGAAATTGACATCAGCATATGAACCTCAGACCCCAGTGGTTGGAGAGGTCCACCCCGTGGTCACACGCCAACAGGCCCGCACCCAGGACTACAACTCACACCCGGAGGTTTAGGTAAGAGACCCTTCCCCATCTGTAGAATGTATACCCTGGGCCCCACCTAGTGAATTTGAAGCCGAAGTAGCCACAGACCCTACGCTACAAGTATATGGGGATAAGATAGCCACAGGGCTGGCAGGGACAGACGGAGAGAGATTCGTATGGGAGGGCAAGCTTTTATATAGGGAGACAGAGAAAAGGTAGACGAGGCAGACCCAGTAATTATGCGTGACCGATACCGATCCGAATTACTCCGGATAGTGCATGATATACCATTATCCGGACACCTTGGGGTCAGTCGCACCTGGTATCGATTGACCCAGAGTTTTTTCTGGCCAGGGATAAGTGAGGAGGCCCGGAGGTATTGCTGTACCTGCGACACCTGCCAGATGGTAGGAAAAAGGGGAGACCACAGGAAAGCCCATAGTGGAGGAGCCATTTAGCCAAATAGCGGTGGACATAAGGAAGGCTAGCCCCTCGGGCAAGAGATACATATTAACAGTAGTAGACTATGCTACCAGGTATCCCGAGGTGGTAGCACTAACTAACATTCATGCAGAAACGGTGGCTGAGGCCCTCATGAAGATTTTCTCCCAGGTAGATTTTCTCTCAGGGCACTCAGTTCACTGCGGAGGTCACACAGCAGCTATGGAAATTCTGTGACATGAGGCCAATAATCAGTGCCCCATATCACCCCCAGACCAATGGGCTCTGCAAACGGTTTAATGGAACATTAAAACAGATGCTCCGAAGGTTCACGGAAACCCATCGGGACTGGGAAAAATTCCTACCGCACCTCATCTTTGCTTATCGGGAGGTGCCGCAGGAATCCACAGGGTTCTCCCCGTTTTAATTATTATATGGGAGACGGGTCCGAGGTCCCCTGCATCTCATTAAGGAGCACTGGGAGGGAGAGCACAGCTCCACAGGTACTCCCATCATACCTTATGTACTGGAGTTTTGGAATCGACTGGAGGAACTAACCCGAGCAGTACGGGAGAACCTCCAGGCGGTCCAGACATGCCAGCGCACATGGTATGATCGGAACGCCAGGGACCGTAGTTTTCAGGTAGGACAGAAAGTTTTAATTTTAAAACCTGTTCGGCATGACAAGCTACAGGCCGCCTGGTAGGGCCCTTATAAGGTGCTGGAGCAGCGCTGCAAAACCACCTATATAATTGGCCCATGTGCTGGCTCAGGGGGGCGACGCATGATCCATGTGAACATGCTGAAACCCTACCGGGAGCACTCCGACGAGGTGACAGCCATTTGTGCACCCCCCTCTGAAAAGTTTGACAACTTTCCTGTAACGGATCACCTGCCACCCCGACTGGGTACCTCCGTTGAAGGATGCTCCTAGCGGAACAGGAAAAGCATACAATCAGCTTACAGTCCTGGCAATCAGCATACAATCCAATTCCTCCAAAAACGAGACGACACTTCGTTTTGAGGTCAAGCAGAACTGCCTGTACTGGCACATACAGCCCACAGGGTTTTGAAATACAACCAATCAATCCGTACAATACACACAGACACTCCCACACAAAATCCTCCCCTCTGCCTGTGATATGATTACTGAACACAATGGTTAATCTAATTATCACAGGCAGAGAAATACAGTATCATAAAACACATCACAGGAACTCCAAAACATGCAATAACCCCATAAAAAGTTTATCCACGGAACCGGGGGATCTGGGTGAACCACATTTCCAAAATTCACCCAGATCCGTGTAGAAAAATCCATCCAAATTCCGCAGCATATATACAGGCTATATGAAAAATAATTACTGTATAATGTTTCCCCTGTTGTATAGTTTAAAACTACTGCACGATGTCTTTGTGCACCAAATACCGGCGAGATGGCACCGTGTAGAAAAGTCCAAACAGTGTCTGTAAGGAAACCAAGTACATTTAAACCTTAATCGGTAGTTTCCTCCCGAACAGCCAGAGCCCAGTGAATATAGCCCTCCGTTCGGTAGTTATAGTAGACGAATTCCCAATTGTAAATCCAATAGTGTTCCTGGATAATTCCCACAGTAAAACACACGAACTCCCAAACAGCATACGTAGTCAGAATAAGGGTACAAAGATGAACTGAAGGTTTAATGACAGCCATGCTCTTTTTATGGAATTCAGCCCATGCAAGGGAGCCTCCCATATAATTAGCCATACACCCAATCCTAACAATATACATACTGTACATCTCCTCCCCTCAGATAACCATTAAACACAATTAAAATGTAACAGAAATTCCCCAAAGTTTGGATGTACCCCAAGGACTCTGGGAGACCAACATACTAAAAACTCAGTCCATTCGGTTCAGCCTTTTGGGAGATATAGGACTTAGAAGTTTTGACCGACTGCACGGGCAAAGTAGCCGAAAACAGTTCCATGAATTCTGGCCCTGCAGTCGGTCTTAGATCGCATGAAAAACCTCCCGAACGGCCGGCCATCCAGCTACCATCCTTGGTTCGCTTGATCCCCATCTGTTGGTAAGTCTTTCTACCGAACGCCCGGTCGTTCGGTAGTTTGGAAGGGGTTTTACCGAAGGTCTGGAGGCTTCAGCGGTGTTCGCCTGTTTGAGTGTCCGTTTTCAGTTCCAGACATTCAATGGCAAACACCGCTGTTCGGGAGCTAAAATGGCCGCGAACACGAGGAAGTCCCGAAATGGCGGCGAGACCTGCCGTTCGTGCAAAACTTCTGCCGAACGTAATCCAGCCAGCAAGGGGGTACAGTCTGTATACAGGGGTGACAGGGTGGTCAACAAAGAAACAGTCCAGGTTAAGCATCCAATTCTGTTTGGCGGGACAAACCGTCTGCATTCCCATTTTGTTTGCCTGGACGATATTGCATAGTGAAGTTGTACGGTTGAAGGGCTAGGCTCCACCGTAAAAGTCTAGGGTTGTCGCCAGCCACCCGGTTTAACCACACCAACGGGTTGTGGTCGGTCATCAGAGTAAACGGCCGGCCGTACAAATAAGGTTGGAGTTTCTTAAGGGCCCACACCAGGGCTAGGCACTCCTTCCTGGGGCATCAGTTTACGACTTAGATAGGCCACCGGGTGTTCCATGCCGTCGTCTCCAACCTGGCTTAACACGGCTCCCAGCCCAAACATGGAGGCATCTGTGTGGACAAGAAATTGTTTAGAGTAGTCGGGTGCTGCCAACACAGGAGCCTCACTCAATGCTGCTTTCAGTTTCTGGAAGGCTGCCACGCACTCTGGGGTCCAGGTAACCTGTTTGGAAAGGGCCTTTTTGGTGAGATCAGTGAGGGGTTTGGCCAGGGCGCTATAGTCGGGGACAAATTTCCAGTAATAACCGGCTGGTCCTAAGAAGGCTAAGACCTGGGTCTTAGTCCGAGGTTGGGGCCAACTAGCTATGGCCTCTATTTTGGCAGGCTCAGGCCGCTGTTTACCTGTCCCTACCCTGTGGCCGAGGTACTGTACCTCCGCCATACCCATGTGACATTTGTCTGGTTTCAACGTAAGCCCTGCTTGGTGAATTCTCTCGAGCACCCTGGACATGTGGCCTAGGTGGTCTCCCCATGTGCGGCTGTAG